CTCCTCCTCCTCCTCCCTCTCCTCCTCCGCCTCCTCCTCCTCCTCCTCCTCCTCCTCCTCCTCCTCCTCCTCCTCCTCCTCCTCCTCCTCCTCCTCCTCCTCCTCCTCCTCCTCCTCCTCCTCCTCCTCCTCCTCCTCCTTCCTCCTCCTCCTCCTCCTCTCCTCCTCCTCCTCCTCCTCCTCCTCCTCTCCTCCTCCTCCTCCTCCTCCTCCCCCTCCTCCTCCTCCTCCTCCTCCTCCTCCTCCTCCTCCTCCTCCTCCTCCTCCTCCTCCTCCTCCTCCTCCACTCCTCCTCCTCCTCCTCCTCCTCCTCCTCCTCCTCCTCCTCCTCCTCCTCCTCCTCTCCTCCTCCTCCTCCTCCTCCTCCTCCTCCTGATTTTTCTGCAACATGGACCCCGGGAGATCTGAACCTTTTCCCCGGGATCGGTGTTTCATCCCAATGTGTGTTTGACGGCCCCGGACCTGGCGAGGGGCCACATCGAGCGGGGTAGGCATATATGCAATCGTTTCCGTGATGTCCTGCTCCAGGCTAGTGGAGTCAGAGCGCCTGTTCCTGCTGCTGCAAGCTCCGCCAACCACGGCGAAACAGCACACGAGGGCTCACCGGGGCAGGAAGGTACTGAGGGTGATATCATATATTTTCTCACTGCTCTGAGGCTTCTGGAATTGAAGGGGTACTGTGTGGACTGACCTTCACTGAGATACTCTTACAGGCACGATATGGATTGAATCGCGATCGGGTTCGGATCGGAAACGGATCGGTTCACCAGCGACTCGTCCCGAATCGAATCGACATCGGATCGCCGTGCCTGGTTCCAGCTGACCCCAGCCGATATTGCCGGTAAATCGAACCAAACAGAGTCGCATCGGAATTACGGCCCCAGCCAGCAAACCGAATCGCATTGTTTCGAATCGAATCTGCACCGCAGCCCTAGCCAACGACTCGAATCGCATCGAATCGGATCGTAGACGGCCCTACTTTGTCAATACACTCCATTCAAAACAAAGACGGCATAAAAGGAAACGGAACACATGTGCACCGCCGAAACCGCTCTGGTTGACCAGTGTCCTATATTGATAGGCCGAGCTGCTACACATGTGTTAAATTATCTAGGAATATCCCCGATGAATCCTAGTAGCGGCGCGATAGCGGCAAGAGGAAAACAATGAGGTGACAGCGATTCCCTTTTTATGGGCGGCGGCGCTGGGGGTCCCGTACACAGTGCGTCTGCCACCCCCAAGAACTTGATGCCACGGGGTGGTTGCGGGCGGGTTCTTCACAAACGGCCGAACGCCTGCGCCCTGATAGCCAAAAACGGGGGGGCATCCTCGAGGACCTCTACCAGCGGAACGACAGCGGTAGATTGGGAAGAGCGAAGCGACGGCGATTCTCACTTCATGGATGGCGGCGCCAGGAGCCCTGAACACCTGCACTCCTTGCCACTATCTGCCACTCTCTGCGATGGGAATGAATCATCAATAAACCCGAAAGGGGAGAAAGGAACTCGGTGGTGAAGGGGGGCGCATGGGCCCCCCATCCCGGACACTGCGACCGTCGGGGAGCCCGACCGCCTTCCTACCTCGCCCAGACGTCCTTCTCCATCTCTGACACTGCCACCACTGCACCGCCGCTCTTACACGCACGAAAGCCTAGAGGCGCAGTCTCGTAGCCCCACCCAGCCCTCATAGGGCCCTCCGCGGTCGAGGCCCCCCTCCACGCCAGACCCCCGCCCCCGCCCGCGGCGGAGGGGCGAGGGCCCCCGAAAGGACGGAGGGGGGCCCGCCACCGCAGCCTAGCCACCCGAAGACGGGGGCTCGAGATTGCCGCGCAAACACGCGGGAGAGCGGCCCAAGGGCCTCGCCCCAGCCCCCAACAGCCCCCCACACGCAGGCCAAACCTCCGCTTCCACCGCGGGGGCCGTCGCCCACCGAGGCGGCCGCGGGGCCCCCTGGGAAGGAGCGCGGGATCGGGGGGGGGGCCCTCGGCGAGGCGAGGCGTGAGCAGCCCACGCTTCGCGGCGGTCGGCACGCGGCGCCCTTCGGTGGCGAGCATCGCCGCGTCGAGCACGCGCCCCCTCGGGTCCGCGGCCGCCGCGCGGACCCCACGATACTCGTCGAAGTCCGTCTTCTCCGCGTCGCCAGGGTCGCCCGCCGCGCCCACTCGAGCGTCGTTCTCCGAGCGGCCCCGCGCAAGCCCCCCATCCCATGCCGGGCGGTGAATCGCTCGACAAACCCCCCGATGCCCAGCCCCGCGCACTCGCCTCGCCGCGGGGCGGGCGCCGAGATCGAAGGGGGCGTCTCCCTTCGGAGGTGGTGCCGTCTGCTGGCGGGGCCGCCCCCGCCGGTCGCCAGTGCTCGTCGGCGCCCTCGGCCGCCTGCTTGCCCGCTACCCGCCGCGCCTGCTCTTCGCGCCGCGCAGAGCCCAGCCCCTGGCCACCTGCGACTGGGCTGACAAGGGTTGTCGCTGCGCTTCGTCACAGGCACGCTCTCCCCCTGCGAGGTCGGCCCGCCCCCGCCAGTAGAGCTCGCCACCCGCTCTGGCGGCCTCACCCCGCTGGATGCCGCACCGCTGGACCGCTGTCTCAGCTGCCCCTCGCGCGGCGCACCTAGCTGCAACGATCCCCCACGCAGAGGCGCACACTCCTCCGGTGCGATCGGCCACCCGGGCAGGTCCACGCGGCTCTTCGCAGCCTTGGCGACCCCTGCACCGACGCCTGCACGCGGCCTCTGTCCGAAGATGGCCCGGCGCCTCCTGGACCACTCGCCGACTGAGTCTCCGAAGTCCCTGATCATTCGCAACCCAAGCTCGTGAATCCGTCGCGCATCCTCCATCAGGCACCTGCTGGGCGCGACTGGCGCCTGCCCGCGGGCGCCCGAGTCACGCGGCACCGGCGCGTTCTCCTCGCGGGCACGAGCTCTCCAGCACTGCCCGCGTCGCCACGGCTGCCGCCCCCCCACCGACGGCGGCGCCGCCGGTGGCCCGATGCTCAGGGGCGCCACGCACTCCAGCTGCGGCGGGCTCTCCCTCTGCCGCCTCGGCCGCGCCTCCGCCTCAGCCCGCCTCGGGCGCGGAGGTCGCCCCGTTCTCGATCTCGCCCGCCATCAGCCGGGCCCCATTCGCACCCGCGCCTCGCGCACCGCAGGCGCCCCCCGGGCCTTGAACCGAACCTGCTCTGGTCGGCGGAGGGTGCGAAGTCGCTGCCCCGTGCCCAGATCCCCCCGCGCCCCGCCGCGGTCTGCCCACCGCGGCGGGGCCCCCGCCCCGCGGGTTCGCGCGGGGCCCCGTCGACGCCCGCAAGCACCGCCGCCTCGCCGCCGTTGCCGGGCCGCGCCCCTTCGGCCGACGACCGAGGCGCTGCTTTTCGTGAATCGTGCCCGCCTGTCCAAGCTGTCTCCGATCAGCGCGTGGCCGAGGGCCCCCGCAGCGTTCTCCTGCCGCCGATCCTCCGGCGACTCGGGCGCCCCGGGCTCGCCACCCCCGCGGCGATCCGCTGCGTCGCGCCGGCGGACCGCCCCGCCCGCGCGGGCGCGCGGCTGCGCCGCGAACGCACGCGAGGCCCGCCGCGAGGCCTGCGCGCCTCGCGAGGGGGCGGCCTGCGAGGCGCGTAGAAGCGGGCCTCGCCGGCGGCCTGCGCGGCTTCGGCCCCCAGGCAGCAAGCTGCTGCACAACGCGCGACGAACCCGCTGCCCGCTGCCCCGATCGCTCTAAAATCAAGCAGCTGGGAAGCACGCGCGACCCCGAAGCCCCGCCCACCCCCCAAACCCACGAGGACGCGCACCCGCGTCGAGCGCCCCTCCCCCCCGCCCGCGGCGGAAGGGGGGGGCGCGCGAATGGGCGGGCGCTTCGCCGCGGGGGGGCGCGGCGGCGGCCCGCTGCGATTCCGGGCCGCCCGCGCAGCGAGCGGCTGCGAAACACTCGGCGACCCCCCTGCCACGACCGCGCTGCGACCGGAGAATTGCGGGGCGCGCAGCCTCGAAGCTCTGCCCGTCCCCGATAGAGGCCCTCGTCTCCGGGAGGGCGCGCCCCCCCGTCGAGCGCCCCCCCCCCGCCCGCGGCGGCGGGGGAGGGCGCGCGAACGGGCGACCGCCTTCACGCCAGAAGAGACCCACCAATCGACCAGCGCCCCGGACCGCCGAAGAGGCGCGCGGGCAGGCGCGAGCGGAAGCCCCATACCGGGCTGCCCCACCAGTCTCGACCGCGCAAACGACCAGACAGTAGAGGGGGAGCCCGGCCAGCCCCCACGCCCCGCCTGCCCCCATAGGACCGACCACTTCCGCGAAGGCGCACGAGGCGACCGACCGCACTCGACGCGCCCCGGGCCCCGCGGCAGCCGTCTCACGCGCCCCCCCCGCCAGCGAGGCCCCCGCTCCGAAGGGCCACGCGGAGCCCCGCTCCGCGGATGCAAGCACTTCACGCCGCGCCGCCCGAGCCTTGCGACCAGCTGGCGCCGCGGCGCGCTTCGGCGCGCCGTCGCCGCGCAGTCGCCCGCTGCCCCAGGCTGCATCGCGGCCAATTCCCCCTGCGCGACGGCGGCGCTCCGCCCTGGCCCGCCGTCTGGAGCGCCGCCGCCGTCGCCGCCCGAGGGCATCGCTGGGCCCCGCCGACCTTCTGATCAGAGCTTGCTGCCGCGCTCGACCAAGCCCTGCGCGGCCAACCTCTGGCGCGCACGCGCTAGCCCCCACCGCTTCGAGAGCTGCCCCTGCTTCCCGCCCTTCTCGGCCGTCTGCGGGTTGTCCGCGGAGTCCGAGACATCGAAAAACGGGGGCAGACAATCGATCACCCTGTCGCGACGCGCACCGCTAAGCTATTGAGCAGTTCTCGGGCGGGCGGAAGGCGCGGCAGACGCGCGCGAACTTGTCCTGGAAGAGGCGCGAGCCCCCCCCCGGCATGAGCGACTCTGCATGTCCCTGAGCACGTCTGCGGTGATCCTCCTTCGAGAACATGGGCACGTGCTTGCTGGGCCTCCTGTAGGTTCCCTCATCGCTGGAGTCGATGGTGCCATGAACGCGCCGAGGTCCCTCTCCCACAACCAGTCCACCTTAGTTAACCGCATTGCGTTGCGCCTCAGAACCGCCAGGGCGCCTTCCTGCCCCTGGGCCCCGTGGCCGAGGTAGACTGTCTCCGCCTGGCCCCCCAGGCTGCACTCCTGGGACTGCTCGATCTGATTCACCTCCTTGTCGCCGGCAAGCTCCACGCCGCACTTCGCGAAAATGGAGCGCGACGGGATAGCGACGAAGCGGCAGCCCCATGCGTCGGCGCACTTCTCCGCCCACCTGCGGCCGCACCTCTTGCTCACGCACCTCCAATGGCATACGAAGGCGGTGCCCCCCGGCTCGTTCAGCTGCGCTGGCACCGCGCAGCGCACCCACTCCTTCGGCTCGAGAAGGGGCCGTCTTGCAGTGTGGGCACGCATACATGATATGGATATCCGCACCGAGGGCGATCGCGAGGTCCGCTAACTGGACGGTCGGCACCTCTGGACCGGCTTGGCTTGCTGAATCGGCGACTCCTTCAGCTGCTTGTTCCTCAGGGTGAAGCATCCGGTATTCAGGCTGTCGGCCCTCGGTCTGGTCCAGAAGTTCGCACCGCCTTGCTGCGTGCCCCCGTGGCCCTTACAGCATATGTTGCGGAACCGGCGCAAGGGGTCTGGGAATCTATTGGTGAACATCCTCGGGGACTCGCCGCCCATGGACTTGGCAACGCGCTCGCGTGCGACGACCGAACTGACGCTCCAGAAACATTGCGCCGCACCTTCCTCGTAGGCCAGGACACAGACAGATATATAGGGAGAGGGAAAGAGACGAAGCCGCGCTCGTCCCAGCAGTAGTGATACTTGACTGGGATGGTCGCGATAGCGTGGCCGCCCACGAACCTGGCCGTGTCGTCGGCCTCCCTGACCAATGGCGTCAGCTTCATCTTGGCCGTGACCCCTGTGGGTCACGCGCACTCCTCGGACCCGTTGCCACTCCTCGTCGCCCGTCCCTGAACTCGGCGAGGAGGCGACCCTGCCAGCCTGACGGCCCGGCTCCCGCCCCGAAGGGGTCCTATGGAGCGCTGCCACTGACTCCCGCCCTCCCTCCGCTGCACTCTGCATCGTCTCCCACTGCCTTCCTCCGCGGCGCGGCGTCAAGGGCGCAGGCCAGCTTCACCGCCCAACCGATACTCAAAAACGGACAAGCGCCTGAGCCCATATGGCCACAGACGTCGGGCAAGGAAGAGGATACACATGTGTGTTGGCACATGGGAAAGTATATGAGAAAGGAGCTTTTGTTGGGAGAGTGTAGTGCGGTACTACTCTGGACCCCTCCTCAGTCTTCTGCTCCTCCTCCTCCTCCTCCTCCTCCTCCTCCTCCTCCTCCTCATCATCATCATCCTCCTCCTCATCATCATCATCATCATCATCATCATCATCATCATCATCATCATCATCATCATCATCATCATCATCATCATCATCATCATCATCATCATCATCATCATCATCATCGTTATCATCATCATCATCATCATTAGCAGCGGCAGCAGCCACATCCTCATCAGCAGCACCACCACCACCATAACATCAGAATCATCATCATCAGCATCATCATCATCATCCTCATCATCATCATCACCAGCATCACCATCATCACCATCATAATCACCATCATCACCATCATCATCACCATCATCATCATCGTCATCGTCATCGTCATCATCACCATCATCATCATCAGCATCGTCATTATCATCATCAGCAGCAGCAGCATCATCATCATCATAATCATTATCAGAATCAGCATTCTCATCATCGTCGTCATCAGCATCATCATCATCATCAGCAGCAGCAGCATCATCATCGTCATCATCATCATCATCATCATCATCATCACCATCATCATCATCAGCAGCAGCAGCATCAGCATCGTCATCATCCTCATCATCATCGTCATCATCATAATCAGCATCACCATCAGGAGCAGCAGCTGCCACATCAGCATCATCATCAGCAGCAGCTTTATCATCATCGTCATCATCATTATCGTCATCAGAATCAGCATCATCATCATAAGCATGATCATCATCATAATCAGCATCAGCATCAGCATCATCAGCATCGCCATCATCAACAGCCTCATCGTGAGCAGCAGCATAATCATCATCATCATCAACATCAGCATCATCAGCATAATCATCATCAGCATCAGCATCATAATCAGCAGCATCAGCATCATCACCAGCAGCATCATCATCAGCATCATCATTCTCATCATCATATCGTCAGTGTCCTCAAACTCTCATCGTCATCATCATCCACATCAACCTTTTCGTAATCACCAGCGTCACTAACAAAACCAACAAAAGCATCAGCATCAGCATTCGACTCCCCTTCATAATAATACGACTAGAATCGATAAGAACAACAATAATAAGTATAACTAATAATGGTAATAATGATTGAAAACGTTGAGGTAATAAGAAGAAGACTAACAATAACAATGATAATACTAAAAAATACGAATGGTGCAACTAGCAGTGGCAAAGATAAAATTAATAAGCATCATCATCATCACCACCATCATCAGCATCATCATCAGCATCAGCATCATTTTCAGCATCAGCATCATCACCATCATAATCAGCATCAGTATTAGCACCAGCATCATCATCATCAGCATCATCATCATCATCATCAGCATCATCATTAGCAGCAGCAGCAGCAGCAGAAGCATCATCAGCAGTATCGTCATCAGCATCATTATCATCAGCAGCAGCATTATCATCATCAGCATCATCATCGGCATCATCATCAGCATCGTCATCATCGTCACCATCTGCAGCATCAGCAGCATCGTCATCATCATAGTCGTAATCTTCATCATCCACATTTTCATCAGCATCATCAACATCATCAGAAACAGCATCAGCATCATCATCAGCACCATCAACTTCATCAACAGCAACGTCATCATGGTCATCATCAACATCATCATCCTTACCATCATCATCAGCAGCAGCATCATCATCAGCATCAGATCGTCATCATCATCATCAGCAGCATCATCAGCATCATCAGCATCATTATCGACATAGTCAGCACCAGCATCATCAGCATCATCAGCAACATCAGCATCATCATACGCATAATCTGCATCATCAGCAGCATCATCAGTATCAGCATCATCATCCTCATCGTCATCATCATCATCATCATCATCATCATCATCATCATCATCATCATCATCGTCGTCGTCGTCGTCGTCGTCGTCATCAGCAGCAGCAGCAGTTGCAGCAGTATCGCCAACGTCATCGTCATCGTCATCGGCATCATCATTGTCATCGTCGTCATCAGCATCAGCATAATCGTCCTCCTCATCCCCCTCTTCCTCTTTCTCCTCCTCCTCCTCGTTGCCTGCCCTCACGGGGACAAAGCCTTTCTCCACCCGAGATCTTCGACGTCGCCATGTTTATTCACAACGTCGACCCCTTGAGGTCTGGACGCCCACCCTGGGACCGGGTTTTCATCCCGAGTCATTTCTTGACAGGCGCGGGGTATGGCGAGGGCCCCACGAGGCCGAAAAAAATCCCACAACTCCTGCAGTAATTAGTTGGCGACGAGAGGGGGTTTCGCTTTCGGGTCATGACTCGGCTCCGTGGCGGCCATTCGGGACGACCTGGGCATCCCAGAAACACTTGGAAAGCCTGCGAGAACCAACGATAACGCCCGAAAACCGAGAACCTCGAGCCTCGAACCTCGACCCAAAACGACTACTGAACGGCCCCTCGACCAGCAAAGGATGGGCGCCTGCAGCCGCGCGAGAACGCGAGCGAACCGAGGGGGGCGCCGCTGTTCAGCTGCTCGACCGCAGAGGACACGGATGCCACGACGCCCCGGTCGATGACTTCCGCCTTGTACGCACTGCAGGGACTGCTGCGGGTGCCATGCCCTCTTCCTCCTCCTCCTCCTCCTCCTCCTCCTCCTCCTCCTGCTCCTCCTCCTCCTCCTTCTTCTCCTCCGCCTCCTCCTCTTCCTCCGCCTCCTCCTCCTGCTCCTCCGCCCCCTCCTCCTCCTCCTCCTCCTCCTCCTCCTCCTCCTCCTCCTCCTCCTCCTCTACCGCCACCGCCGCCTCCGCCGCCTCCGCCTCCGCCTCCGCCTCCGCCTCCTCCTCCGCCTCCGCCTCCGCCTCCGCCTCCGCCTCCGCCTCCTCCTCCTCCTCCTCCTCCTCCTCTTCTTGTATGTTCCTTCTTCTTCTTTATTAGCATTACTATTATTATTTGTAGTACTATCATGTATCAGTATCCTTCTTATTTTCATTAGTATGAGTAAAGCTATTATTAGTAGTAATATTAGTACTATTAGTATTATTCGTAGTCGTACTCGTAATCATCGTTTTAGTATTGGTAGTACTAGTATTAGTACTATGACTTGTATCCACAATAATAACAATAGTATTATTAATATTACTGCACGTATTAATATTATCATGAATGGTGTCATTACGAGTAGTAGTATTACTACTACTACGATTAGTAGTATGATTATTATGACAAGGATGCTGATTATTAGTAGTACTAGTATTAGTATTAGTAGTAATAGTAGTAGTAGTAGTAGTAGTCGTAATAGTAGTCGTAGTAGTGGTAGTAGTAGTAGTAGTAGTAGTAGTAGTAGTAGTAGTAGTAGTACGAGTACTGATTGTAGTAGTGTTATTAGTATTAGTACTCGTAATAAAAATAATAATAATAATATTTGTATGATTCGTAATAGTCGTGTTGTTCATATTCGTCATACTCTTCTTAACGTGAGTAGATGTTCGATAGTCTTAGTATTCTTAATATTAGTACTAGCCGTCGTATTAGTACCCTTCTTATCCGCATAATGAATATGGTTGATTAGTCTTATTCTTTTTGTTAGTAGTACTAATGTTATCATTAGAGCTGGAAGTTATCATATTAATATTATAAGATTCCTCTTCCTCTTACTCCTCCTCCTTCTCGTCCTCCACCTCCGCCTTCTCCTCCTGCGCCTCCGCATCCTCCACCTCCTCCACCTCCTCCGCCTCCTCCGCCTCCTCCGCCTCCGCCTCCGCCTCCGCCTACGCCTCCGCCTCCGCCTCCGCCTCCCCTCCGCCGCCTCCGCCTCCGCCTC